CACTGCGCTCTGCTGTGCTGTGCCAGCGCCTTGCTCTTGACGCTTCTGTGCGCACATGCTACCCCGAGGAGCAGNCGGAGTATTTGGCGGCTGCCTGGGAGCGGCGATGGAAGGGAGTGCTGCCCGAGCGCCGCGCACCGCGGCCCCGCTTCATGCACAGCAACCTCGGTGGGTGGGTGGGGAGGGCTGCAACTTCCGGCAGGCACTTGTTTCCCAGCTTGAAGCAGGCACTTGTTTATCCACGCCGGAGAGGCCCCCACACCGCCACACACGCACACACTACACACATCACCACCCGCGCAGAGAGCTTTGACGAAATCGTGGCGATGTGGCGCCTGCCACCCCGCATCCGCCCCGTCGCCTTCGCCTTTGGCACGCTGGCGGACGGCTTCCTGCCCTTTGACACCCCTGGCCTCCACCCCTCTGCCACCTGTGCCGGCGGAGAGGACCCGGCACCCCCGCCGCAGCAGGGGCAGCAGCAGGCTGCTGGGGAGCAGGGCAGCAGCAGCGGCGGTGACGTGGCCAGGGCCGGCGGCGGCGGCGCTGGCGGCGGTGGCGGCAGCAGCCCCTCCGGCGGCAGAGTGGAGCTCAAGATGTGTTCGGTTGTGATGAAGGCGGTGCAGGCCAGGCACCCTGGCGGCGGCGCGGGCCCCTGCAGCACAGAATCTGGTGAGCCTGCAGACCTCCTGCTGTGCCGCGCCGGCCTGCAGCTGCAAAGCGCCTGTCGCGAGCAAAGCTGCCAGCTCGCTGCTCCGTGCCGCCGCGCCCCGGTCTCCCCCTTGCCGCGGCCCTTCAACAAACGGCCCCGCATGCCATGAAGCTTTTAGTTTCCGCTGCGATGCTGGGCCCGGTGTCTGTGCTCTGCCAGCAGCTGGAAAGATCGGCGACGATGCTGCCCACGGCAAGATGCAGTTTGACAGGCGCCTGCCTCCAGAGGCGGTGGTGAGCGCTGGGTGCCTGCCCGCACCCCGCTCAACGGCGCGCCGCTGGCTGGCCGCCGCAGCCTGCCTGCCTGCCTGCTGTCTCACCGTGCCGGTCACGTCTGCTGCGCATTGGGCCCGCCGCAGGAGCGCACGCGGAGGCGCCTTCTGCTGCTGGCGGAGGCGTGCCAGGTGGACACCGAGGCTGCATCCGCGGCGCTGGCTCGGGCCTACCACGCCGTCACTCGCGACGGGGTGCTGCGCTGAGTGGGCCAGCACTGGGCAGCAGCAGCAGCAGTATGGTAGCTGCAGTGAGGCGGCTGCTGGCCGGGGCAGCAAAGGAGGAGCAGTGGACGGAGCAGCTTGAAGACAGAGAGAGGCGCCAGCGAGATGGAGATCTGAGAGCTTGGACGTCAAAGTGCCGTTGGCAACCAGTCTGTTTCCCCCTGCCATGCGTGTGTCTGTGGCTGCCCTACCTGGCCCGCGGACTCTTCAGGGGCATTTGTAACCATCAGATATACCTGCTCTGGCAGAGTTGGCACCGGGTTCGCCTGCTTGGCTTGATGCATGCTGCTGAGGCAGCGGCTCATGCAGCGGGTGGTGTGCCGCCACCTAGCGGAGCGGCCACACAGGAGGGTGCCCCTGGCACAGATGCACCGACAGCTACCACACCGCACTGGAGTTTGCTCTCTTGCTGCGATGCCTGGGGCTCTCTGGGTGGCATATGCTCATGTGTCCCATGGTCCGGAGGGTAGAGTGGGTCCCCACCGGAGGCCCCCGCCAGATGCCCTCCTCCAGGTGATTTTTCTCGCCTCCCGTTTTTTGCGGGATTTGCACTCGATTCAATCCGTGCGGTGGCGCGGGACGTGCACCTGGACGGTTTGTGACGGAGGGCTTCCTCACCTGCAACGATGGAGGCCTCGCTCGAGGCGCAGCAGGCTGTAAACGCCTCCGTAGTGGAGCGCCAGGTGTTTGACGTGAGTTCGGGCCGCGCACGCGGTTCCATCCAGATGGGGGGGAGCTGGGGCGGGGGAGGGCGAAGCGGTGATGCGAGCCAAGCGGGCAGCGCCCTTGCCGATCCCAAGGCGGAATCACTGGGAGCTGCGCGCCCAGGCTGGGCGGGGCGAAGCCCTAGCCTTCTCCTCCGCCGTCGCCGCCGTGGCCACCGCCTCCCCCACCCGGCCACTGCCTGCATTGGCCGCCCCACCTGCTGCCCGCAGGCCACCGGCTGCAGCGTGTGCGGCACCCACACCAGCTCCAGCTTCCGCAGCGTGCCCTCTAGCGGCTCCCGCCTCTGCAACTCGTGCCACTGCAAGAGCTACCGCCTCAAGCGCAAGGCGGCGGGGCTGACCAACGAAGGCGCGCTGGCGCGGCTGCGCGCCAAGCAGGCCAAGCAGGCAGCCGCAGGCAGGGGCAAGGGCAGCGCGCCCGGTGCTGCCTCCAAGCCCAGCACGACGCTGGCGGCTTATGCAGCCCAGCAGGCGGGGGCGTCGCCGGCGGGCGAGCCGCGGTGGTGGCAGCCCGACAGCCCGCCCACCCCGCAGCTGGCGCAGCAGCTGGTGAGAGCTGCGCTGAGCTGGGCTTCGGCTTGCTGGGGAAGGGGTTGGGACCACGTGATGTTTTGAGTCCCTCCCATGCCTTGCTCTCACACCTGCTGCGCATGCTCCGTGTGCCCCCCACCCGCTGGCACCATGCAGCCCGCCTGCCGCCCAAACCCTGCCGCGCAGCCGCCAGCTCGCCCAGTTGCTGGGCACGTGCACGGCAGCGGCGGCGAGGGGCCGAGCCTGGCGCGGCTGCAGCGCCGGGCGCTGGAAGAGGTGGCGGGCTGCCCAGCCCAGGCGGCGCTCGTGCTGCGCTGCGCGTCCCGCGCGCAGGGCGCCACCCCGCAGCCCTTGCAGCGGTGAGCTGGGTTGGGTGGCTGAGCCTGTCCTCTGCAGCCTAGATTTCTCAGGAATCAGGGTGCCTCCCCGCTGCTGCACCTCCTCTGCCACCCCGCCACCAACAGCCGCCCATGCGTGCTAGCCAGCCAGCGACCACCCCCCACCTGCCCCCTGCCCTCACTTGTGTGTGTGCAGGGTGGTGCTGGGCCTGCTGCCGCGCGTGCAGCTTCAGCTCCCGGACGATCCACCCACCATGCTTCACACGGTGGCCTGCCTGCTGGAGGCGGTGGCGCCGCTGCCTGATGCCGCAGGCTGCTCTGCAGGCTCGCGGCCGGCGGGCGCTGGCGCTGCGGCCGTCGTGCCGCCGCCGCCGCGCGTCGCCGTGCGCCTGACCGTCTTTGCCGCAGGTGGGTGAGGCCGGCATGCCGCGTGCTGCTCGCCACCGCCGGCCCTGCCGCTGGGGCAGAGGTCCAGGCGTGCGAAATGCACGATTTGCCCCATGCTGCCCTCTGCCCACCCGGGGCCAACACCGCCGCCCTCCCTGCCCTCCCCTGCAGCCGGCGCGTTGGTGGGCTGGCACGAGGCGCCCGCCGAGCTGCTGCCCAGCCTGCTGTTTAACTCCCACACCAAGGCCCCCGCCTGGTCCGCCGGCCCCGCCGGCTTCAGCCTGCACTTTGGGAGCGCCCACTGCCCACAGCTGGAGCTGTTCACGGGTGAGAGGGCTCCCTCCCCACCTCCCTATGCCTTGACACGCCCCTGGGTCATGGCGCGCCGCTGGCCCAAGCGCAGCAGCGGCCCGCCGGGCGGCTGCGCATGCGCGCCTGCACGCGCATCTGTGCATGTGCGGCGGCTGGCTAGCCGTGCGGGGCAGGCCGCAGCGCTGCGGCTTTGCCGCTCACACCTGCGGTACCGCTCTGCGGCCCCACCGCATCCACCCGTTGCCCTGCAGCTCTCCACGCCCACGTGGCAACCGCCGGGGATGCCGTGCTGTGGCAGCCGCCGCTGCTGCCCCTGGAGCCGCCGCCGGCGCCGCCGGCTGGCGCCGCTGTGCCGCTGCAGCTGCCGCTGCCGCGCCGCGCCGCCGGAAGCCCCCGCCTCGGCTCGCCGGCGGCCACGGTGGAGGCGGCGTGGGCTCTGCACGCGGGTGCCTGCCCGGACGCCTTTGCCGGCCTGCTGCCGCTGGCAGGCCCGCTGAGCTCCCTCCCGCTGAGCTCAGGGGTGTCAGAGATGAGCAGCCTGGACCTGTGTGGGCTGCCCGCTGAGCCCACCTTGGAGAGCCCCTCCACCGCACTCGCCCTGCCGCTCTTCTGCGCACCTCACGAGCAGCAGCAGGCTCCCTTCCTCACGTGGCCCACCGACTGGCCAGTTGCTCCGTAGCTAGCCAGCCAGCTATCCGTTCGGTTCCATGCCTCTCCGCCCCTTGCCTGCCCCTTCTCTGCTGTTTCAGGTGCCCCCAGATGCACTGGCAATGCCCCCTCCAGCATCCGCCGCCGCCTCTGCACTTGCGGTGCACTGCCCCAAGCTGCAGACGGCAGGCCGCCTGCAGCAATTGCCAATGCAGTGCACAGCCTCAGGACCTTTCCCTGGTTTCTGCCCCCTCTTCTTTGCAAAGCTCTTGCAGCCTCTCTTTTATAGTCTTCCTTTTTCAACTCCTGGCCACTACCCACTTCTCTTGTTCCAACAACGTGTCGCACAACACCTGACGGTCTACCGGCAGCCTACCGCTCATGAACTGTACTCCTGCTCTCCGAGCTAATCCACCATATGCGCTCCATACACATACACTCCAGCTACCCACCCTCCCAGTACGCTCCCCAACACCTTTTGTTGAAACTGCCTGCCGCAGCTGGGCCATGGCAGCCACCCGTGCGCATTCGTTGCCGGCGCTATCAGACGGGGCGGCGCCCGACATGCCAGAGCCCTTCAGTCTTTCCCTGAACCCCATGCTAAGCAAGGAAATCATGGCCTGAGCACCCAGCCCCGCTTTCGTCGTAAGCGCTGAGCTCGCTCGGTCGTCTGCTGCCCAGCGTCCGCTGCGCCTGCTGCCCGCAGCGCCACACCCGCTGCACTCCCCAATGTCTGACCTCCCCAATAGTCTCCTTGTCATCTGATTCTTCAGATGTGTAACTTCTAGCGCCCCCCAGCTCTTTGTGGTGCATGGCGAAGCGCGGGCACACAGCACTGACAAACAGAACAGCGAGAGGGCCAGGCACATGCAAGCGCCGCCGTCCGCCTTCCCTCCCCGCCCAGCCGGCAGTCGGCAGTGCGCCCAAGGAAGCTCTTGAGACTTGTGGCGGCACGATGCCTGTTGCAAGACGGGTTTCACAGCGTCGCCAGCATTTGTAGTAGAGCAGTGGATGCAAGCTGGGCTTGGTGAGGCAGCGGCGGCTGCCGCTCCCGCTGGGCTCAGCACAGCATGGCGCCCGCAACATGGCCGCTCCGTTCAATTCACGAAACATACAGCTCCCGCTCGGTGGTTTTGAGGCCAGAGGTGCCGCGCCGAGCCATTGGCAGGGGCTCGACATTGAGTGGGGCCCCTGCAGCGATGGCGGTGGAGCCGGCGGTGCAGCATGCAGCAGCGGTAGAGGAGGAGGAGGAGGCGGAGCACAGCGACGAGGAGGAACTGGAGAGCAGCTCGAGCGGTGGCAGCGACCCCTCCGACTCGCTGGAGGGCGGCACAAAGAAGCGGAAGAAGAAGAAGGTGCGATGGCGGCGTCCCACGGAGGAATGCGGTGGGGGAGGGTTGGGGTGCAGGCTGGCAATCCTGCGTTCCTGCAGCAGGTTGCCGTGCGAGCCAGCCCGCGCCCTGGGGGGCGGCACAATTGACGGGCGGGGAGATGGCTCCCTCAACCCAACGCAGAAAAAGAAGAAGGGCGGCGGCGCGGCGGGCGGCGGCGGCGGCGCCGCAGCACAGCCCGCCGTGGACCCAGCAGCGCGCAAGGAGGGCGAGCGACGGCTGCAGGCACGGCGCCAGCCGCATGCAACGGTCCTGCGCGTTGCTGCGGGCGGCGCGGCTGTATGCACTGAACCGCCCGCGCCCCGCTTGGTGGCACGTGTGCCTGCGCCACTGGCCGCCGCCACTAGCTCGCCTGCCGGCCTGCTGCTTCGCCCGCCCGCCCGCCTGCTGCTCACTCACCCGCCTGCTGCTTGCCTCTGCCTGCAGGAGGCTGTGGAGGTGCTGTCACACAACAGCGAGGACGGCATGTGGGTCAAGCTGAGCGGGTGCCACCTGGCGGACGGAAAGATGAAGAAGGTGCGGCGTGCGCCGCTGCACAACACCCGAGGTTGAGCCCGGCTGGCGCGCTGCTGCCCCAGCCGGCACGCTTGGATGCCCTGTCAAGACACCCAGAGGGGAGGGAGGACAGGCACACTGCCGAGGGGTTATTGCGCTGCGGTGTGTACTCCCTTTGCACATATGAATGCTCGACGCCGAGCCCCTTGTCATGCCCTGCCGCATCGTGCCTCCCTCCCTCCCGCCCCACCCACCCAATGCAGCTGTGCGAGGCGCTACAGGCCAACACCATCTGCATCTCACTTGACCTGTCGGCCAATCAGCTAACCGACGAAGGTGGGTGCTGGCACGTTGGGTGCCGAAGGAAGAAAGGACAGACGGCCAAGGACAGCCCAGGACAGGGCAGGGCTGAGGGAGCGCTGCAGCTGCCTGCGCCACAGCTGGGATCTTTCTGCCCACGCGCGGGCCTCGGCCTTGGAGCTCCGCGACTGGCAGGCCTGCCAAGCCTGCTGCACCCCTCCATGCTGGCTGGCCGGGGCCGACGGCGCCGCCGTCCCGCTGCCGTGCCCGCCTGTTGCAGGCGCCAAGGCGTTGGCGGCGGCGCTGGCGGATGGGCGGGCGCCAGACCTGATTGATTTGGACCTCCGGGACAATCTCCAGATACAGGAGGGAGGGACTTTGGCCCTGGTGGGTGTGCTGGCGCGGGCTGGCAGGGAACAGCCGCTCGTCGACCCGCCGTGGATGGCCGGCTGAGGCGGGTCTGGTGCTCGTCGAGTGGCTGTGCCCACGCGCCTGGCGCCGCGCCGCTGCACCGCTTGGCGGCTGAAGCCTGCCTGCCTCTCCGCGTCTTCCCTGCCTGCCACGCTCTTGCGCAGGAGGAGCTCCAGCAGCAGCGCAAGACGCTGCGGGTGGCGCTGGGCCCCAGCCAGCCGCCGCCCCAGCAGCAGGCGGCCGCAGCGGGCAGCAAGCCCCAGGCGCCCGCCGCCGGCCAGCAGCAGCAGCAGCAGCAGCAGCAGCTGCAGCAGCAGCAGCACGCCAACGGCAGCGGCGGCGGCGGAAGCTTAGCAGACACCGTCAAGAGCAACCCTGTGATTAGCAAGTACTTTCAGGTGGGAGGGCCGAGGGCTGCGTGAAGGAAGGGCTGAGAGCGGCCGCCTCGGCTCGGCGCCTGTCGGCTCCGGAAGCGTTGCCCATGGCAGGCCGGGGCGCAGGCCGCCTGTCTACGCCTGCTGGCTGCCGTGTGGGGCCGGCCCCACACGGCACCCGTCAACATTCAGTTTGTTGGAGCTGCGGCGGAGGCTGTGGGCGTGGCATGCTGCCCAGCCCGCCGCCGCGTGTCGCGCGTCTGTGCAGGTTGGGAATGATGAGGCGGAGGAGGCGGAGGAGGCGCACCAGCAGGGCAGCCCGCACCAGGCTGGCGGGGCAGGGGAGGAGCACCTGGGCGGGCTGTCGGCGGCTGAGCTGGCGCGGATCCTGTGGGACCAGGTAGGACCTGCTCCCCCGGCCTGCCTGCCGTGCCCCGCCTCTCTGGCCGCCTGCTTGTGCGCCTGCCGGGGCCGCGCTTTGTGCGCCGAGGCAGAGCCCCAGCGCGCCGCCCGAGCATTCAAGCACCCTTCGCGCCACGCAGCAGCATGCACGAGCACCCGCCGCCATGTGGAGAGGCAGCAGCACCACCAGAGCCTCCTCCTCCTCCCCCGCCTCGCCCCGCCCGCCTGCTGCAGCTGGAGCAATGCTTGGATGCGCCGCGCCCCGACATCCCCGCCGTCTCCGAGCCGCTGCGCGCGATTGCGGAGCAGGTGGAGCACGAGATGGACAACTGCGCGGTGAGCCTGTGGCAAAGCTTGCCTTTCTGTTTCCTTAAAACTTACTTCCATTTCCTTTACAACAAAGTACACAGCGGCGGCGGCGGGGTCGCCCAGTCGTGCCTGCTTCCTTCCTGCGTGTCTTGTCCTGGCTCGCCGAGAGGGCTAGAGTTGCGCCAGACGGTGCCGAGGGCGCCACGCCGCGCCACGCTGCGCCACGCTGCGCCTGCTCACGCCGACCTGCGCCCCTGCTGTGCCCCTGCTGCGCTGCAGCTGCCCATGCTAGCCAGCACAGAGGTGGGAGAGCTCAAAACCTTCACGCAGTGGGCCCTGCGCAAGCTGCACGTGCTGCACAGGTGCGGGGTGCGCCGCGCTGCGCCTGCTGCGCCTGCTGCGATGCGTCCCGCCTGCTGTTCCGCGCTGTTCCGCGCTGTGCACGCTGTGGTGTGCCGCGCTGTGGCGCGCGGGCGCGCCGGTTTCAGCGCCCGGCCGGTGAGCCCAGCCCCTGCCCCTTGTGCTGGCGTGCCGAGGTGGCGCTGAGGTGGCGCCGCACGCTGTGCCCGCTTTAATTGCCGCAGCGTGCTGGATCTGGTGCCGCCGCCCATCCTCACCCCCTACTCCAAGACCGTCCCCGTGGTGAGACCAGCCCCTTGGCAGCGGGGGAGGCTAGCGGCGGCGGGGCGGGCTCGTGTATGGATGTGCCTCACATCGCTGCACCTCGGCAGCGTCTCGCGCTTGTCCTGCCTCCCCTTCCCTCCACGCGCACACGCACGCCTACCCAGCCACCTGCCGCTCCCCTGCCCCTGCCCCCGCCCGCTCGCCCTCCACGTATGCCTGACCACCTGCCACTCCCTGCCTCTCCCCCCGCCCCCGCCCGCCCGGCTGCCCTCTGCAGCCCGCAGTGGGGACCCACCGCGCCGCGGTGGCGGAGCTTCTGGCGCAGCTGCTGCGTGGCGAGTGCGCTTCCATTGCCCAGCGGGTGGCCGCCTCGGGTCTGCTGCGCCGCTGCGCCGCCATCGCCGTGGACCATCCCAACTGCTCTGCCGTGCACGGCGCCGTGGCGCGCTGCCTGCGCCTGTCGCTGAGCAAGGCGGTGGGACACGTGGGCCTGTGGCAGCAGCTGCTGGGCTCGGCGCCCGTGGCGGCTGCCGCCGGCGCCGCCAGCCACGACCGCGGCGGCTCGCTCAATCTGGCGGTCGAGGCGGTGGCCATAGCGGCGGCGGCGGCGGCGGCGCCCACGGTGGGCAAGCGCGCCGCCAACGCGGGCTTTGCGCTGGCCATCGGCCGCATGCTGCACCAGGCAGCCACGGGAGAGGCGCTGGGCGGGGACGGCGGCGCCGCAGAGGCCGCCGCCGCAGACGCCGCCGATGCCGCGGCCGCGGCCGCCGACGCGGCGGCGGCCGAAAATGGGACGGCGGGCGAGGGCGTGGCGCAACAGCCGGACCAGCAGCAACAGCAGCAGGAGCAGGAGCAGGAGCAGCAGCAGCAGCGGCAGGAGCAGGAGCAGGAGCAGGGTGGCGGGGAGGCGGCGGGAGGGGGTACGGGCGAGGCGGGGCCGGCGCGGCAGCCAGGGCCGGCGGCCGACGCGCCGGCCGGCCAGCTGGGCGGCGACCCGCTGGCGGAGCCCAACCCCCTGGCGCCGCCGCCAGGGGCGCGCGGCCTGCGCCGCACCCCCTCCCAGCCCAGCCTTGCCAAGGTGGCCTCCCATGCCGTGGCAGACCTGCCAGAGGAGGAGGAGCCCTGGGAGGTGCTGCTGCAAGCGCAGCTGGCCACCGCAGGTGCGCGGCCGTCTGGGGCGGCCGTCTGGGTTGTGTTTGTGTGTGTGTGTTTTGGGTTTGGGGCTCTCGTGTTGTTCGGGTCTGCCTGCCTGCGCTCTGCATGCCTATCGCACCTGTCGCGTGCCGCCGCCACGCCAGCCGCGTGCCCCTCCCTCCTGTGCCCCCCCGCTCCGCGCGCCGCTCGCCCAGCCGCCTCGCATGCCGCCCCGCACCCCACCACCCTCCCCGCTGCCACCACCGCCATGCAATCCACATGCACCACTATCCCACATGCACCATGCACCATCCACACAAGCACACCGCTCCCACCCCCGCCCCCACCCCTTCCTGCCATATGTGCGTGCAGACCCCTGGGTGGAGTTCAGCACAGGCCCAGACTGCCTGCTGCGGAGGATGCTGGAGGAGCATGTGGGGGACCTGGGCGGGCCGCGGCCGCGCCCGGGCGCCCCGCCACCGGGGGAGGAGGAGGAGGACGGCGCGGGGCAGGGGCAAGTGATCAGGTGGGGCGGGGCTGCCCGCCTGCCTGCCTGGCCTGCTGCCTGGCCTGCAGCTTGCCTGCCTGCCTGCAGACTGCCTGCATTGCATGCCTGCAACCTGCCAGCCTGCATGCCCTGCTCACCGCCTGACCTGCTGCCCCTGCCGCGCCTGCCTCTCCTCCCCTGCAGCGGCCAGGAGCTGCTGATGATGCTGAGGGGGCTCAACCTGGGGGGGTTCAGCGGCGGCATCTGAGCTCTCCACCCGCGGCAGCGCACAGAGCACGGCGCAGCCCTCACATCTCACTTGTCTGGTCCCTTGCTGCGGCACCGTCGTTGCTCCCTTCCCAACGCCCCCATTCTTTCCCTCCCTTTCCGCCTCGTCCCATGCCGGCGCCGCCGACCGCGCGCCTCAGTTTTGCAGCTGCCGTTGTTGTGCTGCTGCTGGCTGGCCCCTGCTGCGCCGCCCGCGCCCGCGCGCTGCTGCCAATGCGCTGCCCCCACCGGGCGGCGCACGTTTTGGCACGTGCCCGCGGCGCGGCGGCGCCGCCGCAGCTGGCGCCGCTCCCTCTGCTCTCCCCTCTCCATCCAATGACTATTCTTTGCGCTCCCCGCATTGCCACGTGCCCCTCGCTGCCCGCCTCTGCCTGCTGTGCCGCACCCTCGTTGCTCCCGCTTGCCCCTCTGCCCCTTTCCCCCCTGGCTCTGCCTCGCTCCAGCCCCCCAACAGGTCTCCCTCCCCCCCCACACACAGACCAGGACTGAACTGTCGGCGGCGCTGCCGCTCGAGCCCTTGGCGGGCAGCACACCCGCATGCGCCTGCCCCGCACACGTCAGTGCACATGGCTTCACAACTCTGCAACTCCAACTCTACAACTCGCCTGCTGTAATTTTAGAGTGACACCTGGGACGCTGCAGCAGCGTCCCCTAGGCAGCGCCAGGGGCGAAAGAATTCTGTGTGTGTGTGGCGCGCTAGCAGGCGGGGCCCCGAGGCGGGGCCGCCGCTTGCGCCCGCGCTGCCGCCCCCTGGCCCGCCGCAGACGCGGCCGCCCGCCCCCTGCAGGCAGCCAGTGTGTGAATGAGCCGCGTGGGCCCGGCTCTTCAGGATTTGTGCAAGGACAAAGCGCACTCCATGCATGCAACCACCCACCTCCGCTCCTGGGAGGAGTCTCCCAAGGGGACTGGGCAGTCTTCCGGTGAGCCGTCCGAGGGGCCGCCCTTGCGCCGCCAGCTGTAGAACAGCAGGGTGCCGTCCCCCATCCCCGCCGCAACGGGCAGGCCGTCGGCGCAGAGGCAGGTGCAGGGCACGCGGGGGGCCTGCGGCGCGGCGAGCCCCGCGCCGGGGGCGCGCTTTGCGCCGCGGCCGACCGCCCGCTGCTGAAGAGGCTGGTATCTGTGCACCACCGCTCCAGTCTGCACCATGCACACACAGCCAACACGAGACACTTGCAGTGAACAAAAGAGCAAGTAAACACCACGGCAGGGCGCTTGGGAGGTGCGCACCTGCGTGCGTGCGACTGGGGCACCATAGGAACGGCTGGCCCGCCCCGCAACTCCCGCATGCCCGCATGCACATCCCGCCACCGCCGCGCCGCACACTCAGCAGGCCCACCTCTGCGTTGCAGCAGCGCATGCTGCCCTGCGCGTCCCCCAATAGGAAGCACGGGCTGCCGTAGCGCGGGACGGCCAGCGCGGGGCCTGCCAGGATGGGCTGGAACCCTGGCAGCTGCGGCAGCCTGGCGTTGGCGGCCTGCGGGGGATCCAAGCGCAGATGGCAGCAGGGGCGGGTGTGGACGACGGCAAAAAGTGTGCGCGTGTGTCTGTCTGCCTGTCTGCCTGCCTGTCTGCCTGGCACGGCTGCCACGGCGGGGTGTCGTGAGGCGGGGATGCAGGCAGCGCTGCGGCAAACAGTCCCGACCCCGTTCAGGCCACCTCCGCCGCTGCCGCACAGGCGTGCTGCACCCGCGCACCATGCTCAGCCTGCGGGCGGGCGTCGGCAGGGCGCTGAGCTGGCGCCCCGCTGTGAAGCAGAAGGTGACGGGGTGGGCGTGGTGAGGGCCCTGGCAGGCGGCCAGCAGCCGCCCAGAGGCCGGGTCCAAATGGAGCGAGCGCACCGCTGCAGGGCACAGGCACAACAGGCGCACACGCCGGGGTGGTTGGCTGGCTGGCACAAGGGCGCAGGCGCACGCGGCGGGACAACACAGCCTGAAGGGTTGCAGCAAACGCAGCGCCCGCCGTGCACCGGGCGGCCAGCACGGGCAGGCAGGCCGCGTGCAGCTCACCGGTATTGCGGTGCGGCAGGGAAGCCTCAGCTAGCTCCAGGGTGCTATCGGCGTTGCAGACGAGCAGCCGGCTGCCGCCGCCGGCGCTGCACGCACGCAGGGGCATTGCAGCAGCAGTGGGGAGCCGCACGCCGGCTGTGGCACAAGTAAGGGAACTCTTGAGAGCCGTTTTGGCACGCCAATCACGGTACCTGCCCCGTCTCTCCCACGCTCGAGCGCAGCAGAGCGGCATCTGACAAAACAGCATAGCACAGCACGCCACCACACAGCACAGCGCAGCGCAGCATGGCACAGCACGGCACAGCACAGCACAGCGCAGCGCAGCACGGCATGCACCTGACCAGTAGGTCCAGCTCTCGGTACCGCGCATGGTACAGGGCGGTGACGCCGCCCTGGTGCGGGCGCAGCAGCATGGTGCAGCTGCCGCTGAAGAGGTCAAACAGGCGGACGGAGCCGTCGGCTGCAGCCGAGCCAGTTGCGCAGGCAGACAGGCAGGCAGGCAGGTGGAGGCAGGCAGAGGAGGGAGTGCGTGGCACGGTGCAGGCGGCTGCGGCGGCAGGTGGGGCTGTCTGCGCACGGCATGTACTGATCAGCAGGGAGGCACCCGCAGGCGCAGCACCAGCAACAGCACCGGCTCCCTTCAGGTGCGGCACCACTACTCACAGCAGCCCGCCGCCAGGCTCATCTCCCAGGCAGCCGCGCACAGGATGCGGGGCCCGCCGCCGCTGCCTGCCGCCTCCAGAGGGATGCGCCGCACGAGGCGGAACGCGGTGCTGCAGCCCCTTTCCGCAGCGCCGCGGCCAGCGGCGGTGCTGGCGCTGCCAGCAGCGGCGCTGGTGCTGGCGCACTCCGCTGCCGCCGCCGCCGTCGCGGCATCACCGCCCCCGCCGACCTCGAGGCGCCACACGTAGGCCGCGCCTGCGCAGGCGCTGACCGCGGTGCCTGGGGACAGCAGGCGCACGTAGAGCACCGGCGAGGGGTGCTGCGCTCGGCCGCAGGCCCGCGGCGTCCCTTCTGACACATCCCACAGGCACACCGTGCCGTCGGCGGAGGCAGAGGCCAGCCAGCGGGGCCCGAGCGCGGAGCAGCAGGTGACGGCGCCGGTGTGAACGCCCCGCTCGAGGCGCACGGTGGGCACATACAGCGGAGAGCGTGGGGCGCCGAGCACGTGCGCCCACTGCAGCGCCGGCATAGGAGGAGGGGGCGGGCGGAGCAGAGGCGGCGGGCGGGGTCAGGCAGGCAGGCAACAGCCGCTGGGAGCAGCCAGGCTGGTGCATGTCGTCTGGCGGCGCGGCACGGCTGTCGCAGCACCCAATCCCTGCTTCGCTGCAGCACCCACCCGAGCCTCCAGGTATTGCTGCTTCCAGGGGACGGCTGGTGGAGGGCTGGGAGGACTTGCTGCCGCCGCCGGCGCAGGCGCCGGTGACGCGGGCTGCTGCTGCGCCTGCCGCCGCCTCGCCTGCTGCGCCGCCGCGCCGGCCAGATCCTGCTGAGCCTCCTCGGCGTGGCGGCGCCACAAGGCGTGTGAATCAACCACGGAGGCCCAGCGCCGGCATACTTCTTGAGCTGCCGCCAGCCCAGATGGCGGCAGCCGGGCGAGCACGAGGGCAAGCAGGTCGTCGCCTGCAGGCGCGGGCGGCGATGGCGGGGAATGGCGGCGCCGGGTTGGTTGCGGCAGCAGCGGCCGCCCTGCGGCTCAAGCCTTAGCTGACTGACTCGCGCGTCTGAATGCAATGCAGCAGCACTGCGGGGCGGCTGGGCGCGCACCAAGGGGCAACTCGGGAGCCTCTCGCGGGCCTCTCTGTGCTGTCATCGCTGCGCGCACAGCAGCATCGACAGGTAGAATATTGAAAGCTAAATGGGCTCGTCTGGGCTCATCTGCGGAGCGTGCTGTGGCGGCGGCTGGCACAGCGCAGGAGCGAGTTCAGGCACGCGCTCTCACCACATTGCCGCATGCTGCCCTCTCCTTGTCAGCAGCTGATCAATGGTTTCGATGGCATGAATGAAAGTATGCAGGGGAGGTACCGGAAAACTGCGGTGCATGCAAAACTGGCGGTCTCGAGGACGGGTTGCCCGTCACGGTACCAGCGAGCGGCGCAGGAAGAACTGCACCGCATACTCGTACAGCTGCATGTCCTGCCGGTTGTGCCGCGCAACGACGCGCCGCACCTCTGCCGGCACCTTGGGCTTGGGGGTGGCGTTGGAGCGCGCCAGCCCGGTGGCAGATGCCGAGGCCGCTTCCAGCTGCGCCGCGACATCCAGCACGCGGGCGCTGGGCCAGCCCGCCGCCTGCGCCAGCTGCACCAGCGACTCCTCCATAAACTCCTGCAGGCCGCAGGCAGGGCAAGGGAGCAGGGAAGGGTGAAGAGGCTGCAACGGCGGCAGGCGTGTGCAGGCAGCGACAGCGGCAGCCAGGCTGGTGCCGCGACTGAACACCGGCCGTGCCGAGACAGCCAGCCAGCCACAGGTGCGGACACCTCGAGGGGCGGGAGCAGCCCCCTGATGCAGCAGGTGCAAGACCGGGGGAGGGCAGGAATGCAGCATGCGCAAGACCCAGGGCTGCGTCCACAGACTGGGGCACCCACCGACAGCATGATGATGCAGATGCGGCCCAGGTTGCGCTTGGCAGCCTGCAGCCACTGCTCCGGCGGCGGCACCGGGGCGATGCCCGGCCAGTTGCAGTGCCGCGCGCCGCCCAGGTGCTGCATCATGAGGTTGTTGGAGTCGATGGGGTTGTCCTGCACAAACCGCATCAGGCCGGAAAAGTCTGTCTCGTTCTGCGGCTTGTAGCCGGCCAGGAAGGGGGCCCCCACTTTGAGCGAATAGAAGTAGCCAGAGAGCACGCGGTCGACGGGGTGCCGCAGCGCCGTCAGGGTGAGCGTGCGCGAGTAGTCCACGCCCACCGCGTCAAAGTAGGCCACGTCCTGGTGGGAGGTCAGGCCGTGGCACGTGGCCCCAAACGCCCGCCGCGTGGCCTCGAACAGCTGCTGCTGCTGGGGGCCCGGGTCGCCGCCGCCGCAATTGGCAAAGACGGGCGGCAGGTCTGCCGCGTCCTCCCCTCCCCACGTGCACCACCGCCCGCCCCCGCCGGCAGGCAACAGCGCCTTGAGGGCGTCGTGCACAAAGGTGCCTGCGGCGCGCAGCACGTGGCGCATGGAGCCAGGGACGGTCGGCGGTCGCGGCAGCACCACATGCCTGGGAGACTGCTCGCCTCCTTGGCCCTGACTGGTCCACACTGCATCACCGCTGCAGACCCAACGCTCAGCATGCACTGGCTGTGCTTGCTGCTGCCTTGGCCCGCACAGCGCTGTGGCGCCCCGCGCACCTGCTGTTTTGGGGATGTGGACAAAGGCGGCGCTGCCGACGGCCTGGCCGTCACTAAGGGAGGGGCACTGCCTGCTGTCTGCTGCGTGATGCATGGTGTGCTGCAATCCAGACTCCAGGCTCGATCCTGGAGGACAGGCGGGCCAGCATGCAAGCGAAAGGGGTCGATGGTGGGGCAAGACGGGCACTCTGGCGAGCAGGCGGGCGGCAACATGGTCGGCAAGCGCTGGCGGCAACATGTGTCACGCGGCCACTGCCACTGCCACTGCGGTGCGAATCTGCCACTGCAAGCCTGCACAAGCTCAACGCAAGCCCGGTAATGCAGCTCACCGGCCCCAGCGCTCACTTCGAGTTTGAACAGCGGCCACCGGTGGTTCCTCTCCTGGTATTGGGTCTGGGCGTGCTGCTGGTGATAACAATGCAACTATGGCCAGCGCTGCACCCCCAGAGAGGGCCGCCCGAAGGCGGGAGCGAGCCCGCCTGCCCGTGGGGGGCGCTGCGGGCGGGCTGCTTGAGATGAGCCGCATGTGGGGAGGTGCGAAGCACAATTGAATAGGGCAGAGCTGTTACAAGGCACAGGACCAATCCAGGCTGGCAGCCCCACCGCGCAGACGTGTCAGCCCTGCATTCCTAGGAACATGTGTGTGGCATGCTTGTTCTTGCAATGTGACCAACCACCACATTTACATCGGCCTGCGTCAGGTCGGGATGCTGCAAGCTGCACAGCCCCAGAAAGACCCGCGCGCGCCGACCGCTGGCGGCACCCGTGGCGCTAGCCGTCGGCTTGTAAAGTTCAAGGGAGAGCAGGGAGCGCAAGTGCTGAATAAGTACTAGAAAAATGAAATGGCAACTCAAGTGAAAAGTCAAAAGTAGGGGGCCGCGCGCATGCGCCCGGGCCGGCTCACCGCGCGTCTGCGGTGAGGGAGCGGCGCAGGAAGAGCTGTACCGCATACTCGTACAGCCGCATGTCCTCCCGGTTGTTGCGCTCTATCGCCAGCCGCACCTCCACCGGGATCTTGGGCTTGGGGGTGGCGTTCACTTTGGAGCCGGTGTTGCCGGCCTCCAGGTCCTGCGCCAGCTTCAGCACCCGCCGGCTCGCCCAGCCGCCCGCCTTGGCCAGCCGCACCAGCGACTCATCCATGAATTCCTGCAGGCGGGGCAGCACACGAGGGCAAACGCAGGGGTGAGGCGAGCAGTGGAGGATGGCAATGGTGATGTGGGGGCGTCCCAGTCAGCACACATTCCAGAGGTTGGCTGCTGCTCAGCCTGCCTCCCGCCAGAAAAAAAACCTACAGCTGCCACTGCGGCAACAGCCAGCAGCCTGCTGGCAGCTGCCCCAGCAGCCCGCCGCCGCCATCCAGCCCAGCGGCCAGCAGCTGCGCTGCGCGGGGTGTGTGCAGCTGGGCTCACCGACAGGATGATGACGCAGATGCGGGCCAGGTTGCGCTTGGCAGCCTCCAGCCGCTGCTCCCGCGGCGGCGCCGGGGCGATGCCCGGCCAGTTGCAGTGCCGCGAGCCGCCCAGGTGCTGCGTCATGAGGTTGTTGGAGTCGATGGGGTTTTCCTCCACAAACCGCATCAGGCCCGTAAAGTCGGTGTCGTTCTGCGGCTTGTAGCCCTCCAGGAAGGGGGCATCCACCCTCAGCGAGTAGAAGTATGCGCTGATGACGCGGTCCACGGGGTGCCGCAGCGCCGTCAGGGTGAGCGTGCGCGAGTAGTCCACGCCCACCGCGTCAAAGTAGGCCACGTCCTGGTGGGCCGCAAAGCCGCTGCAGTTGTGTGTGAACGCCATCCGCGTGGCCTCAAACAGCTTTTGGTGGTCGGGGCCCGGGTCGCCGCCGCCGCAATTGGAGAAGACGGGCGGCAGGTCTCGCCCGGTGCCCTCGTCCCCCCACGTGCACCACCGCCCGCTCCCTGCTTGCGGCAGCAAGGCATGGAGGGCGACGTGCAAGAAGGTGCCTGCAGCAGCGCATGGCACAGGCAGGCAGCGCAGAGCGTCGATGGCAGCGGAGGGGGGCAGCCGCGCAGGGGAGGCGTGCTGCCGCCTGCGTCAGCTGCCAGGATCCAGCATCTGCAACCGCTTCCGAGCGGAGCTCCTCAGGCCCGGCTGGGGCAGGCCCTCGCACTCTGGCCCAGCAAGCGCCAAGCCCGCTGCCGCCAGTCCTGTCATCCCAGCGGCGGGCTGCCACACCTGCTGTCTTGGGGATGTGGATGATGGCCACGCTGTCCACCGCGTGCCCCGGCCTGCGCACGGGGCATTGCCTGGCATCCACCATGTCCTGGAGCGACATGCCGACCGCCGCATCCCAGCCAGATCCTGCAGCACCAATGCACACAGCGGCACATGCGCCACCCGCTGGCCGTCATGTTCGGATCAGGGCCCTTCCTGTGCGCACAGAAAGCCCATGCTGGAAGGCTTGAACACAGGCGACGGGGGCGGAGCGGCGCTGGCGGCCACCCCCTCGGGGGTCGCCCGGCGGGCGGCCCAGCGCAGTCCCAGGAGGCTGCACGGCAGCTCACACGCACCTGTGTCTAGCACGCTGCGCCGCTGTGTGTCCCATGAGCCCTCCGCGCGCTGAACTGCCGCGCTCCAGCCGCTATGGTAAAGCAGGCGCCAGAGCAGGGAAACACCAATCAGGGCTCCAAGAAGGGCGGTCTTGGGGCGACGAAGGGAGGGGAAATGACGATGCAGACGCTGGGGAGACAGCACGGTGCCTGCCTGCATCTGCAGGAGGTGGGGTTCCCTGCCGCCCCCGGAGTGATACATGAGCACAACGAGCGGGATAGCCGCAGAAATGGTGCACTACTGCGCAGGAAGGCGCTGCCAAGCATTCAAAGGCGGAGCCGTGCGGAGCCGTGCTGCGCTCTTTGGGCGCAAGGCAAATGCAGGGCTTTCTGCCCCCCTGCACAATTCACACAGCGTGTCAGAACGTTGCTCAACCTGCCGCGCCTGCTGCAAGCCCCGCACTTCGCCATATGGTGTGCCGCGGGGTCAGGCACACGAGATAACGGGCCGCGGCGCTTCTTGGCGAATTACTGGTTTGAAATAACGGAGGGAGCAGCAACGCGCGTGGGGTTGGAGACGCATTCGCCCCAGATCCAGCATTTTGCAGGCAAGCACAGCCTCTCCAACACCGCCCGATTGTAGGTTGGGGACGCCGCGGATAGAGCCACAAAGGGGCGCTGCAGGCCGGCGCGAGTGCGGCCTGCTGCCCACCGCCGCTTCTCGCCCCCGCGTCGCCGCCGCCCATTACCCCGCCACTGGCTGTCTCTCCGTCTGCGCTGCAGCCTGACTCCCCGCCAAGCGGCCGCAATGGCGTCGCGGCACGCGCCACCCTACCAGACGCCGCCGCCTGCAGTGGGCAAGGCTGGTGGCAGGCTCGCGCGCCTGGGCCACGCCTCGCCTGCCTCTAGCGCCGGCTCGCTGCCCGGCGTCGCCGCCGCGGCAGCCGGCACCCCGCCGTCGGCGGCCCGCGCCAGCCCGCGCACGCCAGACGTCGTGCCCGCCAGCGGCGCCGGGCGCCCGCGCAGCGCGCGCAGCGGCTCTGCCACGCCGCCGTCCGACGACGCCCTGTCCCTCGCCTCTGGCACCACCGCCTCCTTTAGCTCCGCCGCAGACGCCTGTCTCTTTGCGCCCGCCTCAACAGAGGATGCGGTGCACGCGGTGCCCTCTTTGCTCAGCCAGCTTCTGTCGGGGCGCACCGACGAGCAGGTGCTGGCTGCCCGGAAGCTGCACGCGTACTGCCGCCACTGCGGGAGGCCCGTGGAGGCCTCCGTCGCGGCCGCCGGCGGCGTGCACATGCTGCTCATCATGCTGGACAGCCTGGACCGCGGCCTGAGGGACGTGTGCACCCGCATTCTCACAGACCTGGCGGCAGACGACAGCGTCAGGTGGGGCCCGCCCTCCGCCTGGCTGGGTCATGTGGTCCTGGCCCGGCCAGCTGGTCCTGGCCCGGCAGCAACAACCTGGCTGCGCCTGGATGCGGTTTGGGGGCAGGGAGGAGGGGAGACGTGGCGGGGACGGGGCAGGGCCGCCCACCGCCGGCGGCGGCGGCTTCGGCGGCGAGAGCGGGTCGGGGTTGGGCAGGGTGTAGGCTGTCCTACCCTGCCTGCAGGGTGTGCGCAGCCTGCTGCGTCCTGCTCGGCCTGCTCTGCGGCTGGCTGCCGCACCACTGCTGCGCCCCGACTCGCGGTGCCGCCGCCGCATACCCCTCCCGCTTGAGCGCAGGGCTGAGATCCTGTCTGCGCCCGGCGGTACCGCCAAGGTCATCCAGCTGATGTACCGCAGTATCCTGGACGGCCAGGCCTCGGCGGGCCGCTTCCTGGAGCTGCTGGCAGGCAGCCGCAGCGAGGCGGTGCAGGTGGGCGGGCGGAGCGAAGCGTGTCGGTGTGTGTGGGCCTTCGGACAGGCACGCGCCGGGGCCGGTAGCTGTTCTGAGCATCTGTCGGTTGCTGCCGCTCTCCTGCCCTGCTGCCTTTGTCTAAGCTGACACACAGCACAGCACAGCACAGCGCAGCACAGCACAGCGCAGTGCGGCAGCACCGCACAGCACCCAGGCGGTAGGCATGCCCTCACACACGCAGCGCCCTGCCCCTCCGCCCCGCAGGCCGCGCTGTGCCACGGCAAGGTGGTCCGCATGCTGTGCAAGACGCTGGGGTCGGCGCCCACGCCGCGCGCCCGCGCCGCCGCCCTCTCCGCGCTGCAGGTGCGCCGGCGGGCGGCCCCGGGGGTGGGGGCGGGGCTAGACACGCTACTGGCTGGGATGCTGGCAGCGGCGCCTGTGACAGTGTGTGTGCCGAGGGAGGCGGGCCGCTGTGTTTGAAGGAGGCGGGCAGGCTGGCAGCAGAGGCGGGCGTGTGCTGACGGCCGCTGGTTTCACCAAGCCGCCCGCGGCGCCTCGCCTGCGCGCAGGCCTTTTGCCGCCACGACCCCTCCAACCTGCGCAAGCTGGTGTGGAGCGGCGGCGTGGAGGCGCTGGTGGAGGTGCTGCAGTCAGGTGGGCAGGGGGCGCTGCCTTATATAGCTGGTGGCGCACGGCAGGGGCTGGGGCGCGCCTGCGGCTGTTGGGGGATTGTGGCGCACGGCTGCAGGCCAGGAGGGCAGGGGTGGGGCTGGGCTGGGTGCCGCAGCACGCATGCAAATACGCACGCACGCACGCATGCGCTGTCGGCTCCCCGCCTCACCCAGCCCGCCGCCTGCCGCCCCCACCCTGCGCAGCCGATGGCACGGCACAGCAGCAGCAGCAGCACGGCGCGGCGCTGGCGCTGCTGGGCGCGACGGTGGCGCTGCAGGCCGACGTCGCCGCCGAGCTGGCGACGCCTGCGGCGGTGGAGGCGTTGGCCGCCTTTGTGGGCTGCCCCGAGCAGCCCCTGGAGCAGCAGGCGCAGGCCGCAGACATGCTGGCTGCGGTGGCGGCGGTGCCTGTGAAGCGGGAGGGCGTGCGGCAGGCGCTGACAGACCATGCGCTGCCCCGCGCGTTTGAGGTTGTGCACGAGGCGGCGGCGGCGGCGGAAGCAGAGGCAGAGGCGAGCCTGGGCTCGCCAGTGCGGGGCGAGGCCGTTGAGGCGGCGCACCGGCGCCGCCTGCAGGCCGCTGCGGCCGCCATCGTGGCGCAGCTGGCGGAGCAAGACGGCGAGTGCTGCCACTCGCTGCTGTTCCACGCCCAGCTGCTGCGCCCGGCGGTGCTGATGCTGGCGGGCGGCGGGCGCTGCGCCGCCGCGCAGCGCCTGCTGGCGGCCGCCAGACGCTACGCCGCCTCGCTCGCCGCACCCGGCGGCGCCGCCTGTGGCGGCCACGCCGGCAGCGCCGCCGTGGCGGCCGCGGCGCCGGCCTAGCGGGGCCCCTGTGGCTGTGGCTGCAGCCGTCACGTGAACCCAAACCTTCAACTCAAGTGACAGACGAATAGGACTCCAGCAGCAGACAGATATTTAGCCAGAGGCAGGCAGCTTTTATTGTTTTGGTGGCGGCAGTGTCCTTGCGGCGGCGCCGCCTGGTGGCCGCCCGCCGCCACCCAAACGCCTTATTCACAGGAATCTTTCTTCAATTACATTAGCTACAGGCCGCTCTCTACGTGACCTGAGATACTTTTTGCAGCACAGTTGCCAGATGCCCTTCCGATTTCACAGCACCCTCCTTCCTTTCTCGCCGTGATTGCTTCACAAATGCCTACCTTTGGCTCACATCTACCAAACATTGTCAGTTGCCGGTAACACAGAACGCCAGCGCCCACTAGCCTGTGCATCTCACTGTCTGCCGGCGGGCGGGGGGGCCCAGCCACCCGCGCGTGGCGCCACATCAGCAGATGCAGGGCGGTAGCTGTTGTCGCGCCCGCTGCTGCGCACAGCCACGTGTTTCAAGCCAGCCTTCTCTGCCTCCAGGAAGCCCTCAGCATCGCAGTTGGCGGGCACTGGATTGGAGGGTGAAGGGGTGGAAGGGCAGGGGCGCTGGGAGCCGCTGGCGGCACTGACGGCAGCGGCCGGAGGCGGACCCGGGTCGGGCACTGCGCCGCCCTGGCAGGGCGGCGGCGACTGAGATACGCACCATACGGGCCGTGCAGGGGCCCAAACTTCTTGGCCAGCTCGTAAGACATCTTGGGGTTGGGCGGAGGCTGGCCTGTTGACCCACCTTCGGCGCCGGCGGGGAAGAGCAGCAGTCGAGCGGCGGCGGCTGCAAGGCCACAGTGGGCGGCGCACCGAGGGATTTGATAAGCCAGGGCCACCAATCACACACCACCCGCTGAACGATTGAAACAGGCCCCAGACACAAGCCCAAGGGCGTGCCTGGGGGAGACGCTCGAGGTTGGGAGCTCGAGGTTAAGCTCAGCCTGGCCCACCTGTGATTGTGGGTATGTCTCGCCGCAAGTGCTACTGAGACTTTGTTCGTGGGTCGCGCGCAAAGCTGAATTTCTGCGGATACCCAGCCCGGCAGGCCTGCCAGCTCAGCATCGCTCCCGGATCGCCGAAATCCGGGCCTCCCTGCGTCCCGATTAGTCGTGTACACTATAACAAGCATATGTAGAGCGGTACTAACTCCAGAAACCGCACACATCTTCTCGGACCCCGGCGGTCACCTTGTTCGGGCTGTTTTCTGTGCAGAGAGTGTCGGTGCCCGCATTCGCCCTCAAATCGTCCCGAACAAGGTGCATCTGTGAGGGTGTGAACAACTCCCAGAGCGTGCGGCCTCCCTGCTCAGCTGACCACGACCGGTGCCCCAAACCCCAGCCACGACTGCGCTATGAAGCCGATCGTCCTCTTCCTGGCCCTGGCACTGGTGCCGGCATGCCTGGCGGGGCGCAACACCGTGCTGCACGCCAGGCGGCAGCTGCTGGCCGCCGACATCTCACAGACGCAGGCTGACTCCATTCTGGGCGTCTGGCAGATCAAGGTGCGCCAGGGAGGTGGGGGTGACCTTCATGTCGGGCATGCCGGGCATGCATGGTGGGCGGGCAAAAGCGCCTGGCACCTCCCCTGTCCCCCCACCCATGATCTGCCTGCGGGGCTGAGCTGAGCCTTGTTATGGCACCAAAGCGACGGGGGTGCAGCGCGAGTCGACGCTGCCGGCCGCGGGTGTGAGGCCTCCTCAAGGTGCAGCCCCCGCCCCCGGCGCCACCGCCTCGCTTGCTTCCTCCCTGTGCCCGCGCTGCCTGCAGGACAGCAGCGAGAAGATCTTTTCATCCGAGCTGGCCGCTCTGCTCATGGCCAAGCAGTACAAGGAAACCCAGAAGGTCGACAGCCAGAAGGCAAGCTGCTCATGCCTTGAGGCCGGGTGGCGCTAGAGCTCCAGTCCCAGCGAGCCGCACACGCACGCGCGCGGCAGCGCAGCCACGCCTTCACCCCCCCCACCCCACCTCTCCCGAAGCAAAGCACAGGCCTTGCCACGTCGGCAGCACCACCACCGCCGCCCGTGCAGCTCCCCTCCACAGGCACGTCCCACACGCATGTCCCACGCATAGCAAAGCAGCCTGCCCCTGCCCCCTTGCAGGCCTTTGCCCAGGCCCAGGACTTGTCCAGCCTCCGTGAGCTCGTGCCCAACCGTGGCGACGCCGGGGCCGCAGCCCCCAAGAAGCGCACCCTGCAGGCGAGCGACGGAAGGCGCTGGCGGCGGCTCGGGCGGCACGAGGCACTGCAGTGCCGCTGCCGGGCTGAGCGGGGCCCGGCCTCGGTGCCCTCGTCCTTCGAACAGCCAGAGGGGTCCGATCCTAAATCTTTGTGCTGAGTCCAATCCGCCTTGCTTTCCACCTTGCTTTCCACCCTGCTCTGCCGTGCAGGTCGTCATCTACGGAGCAGATGCAACCACCCGTGAGCCGCGCTGCTGTGCCTGCTGTGCCTGCTGTGCCTGCTGTGCCGCCGCCGGCACCTGCACACCTGGGCCGCCCCCGGCGGCGCCGCCTGGTCCCAGCTGCGTGGTCCGCCCCCTCCCTGGCTGCCCCTCCCCTGCGCGCCACATGGCCCTGCGCGCACACACACACACACATACACATCGATATCCCTGCAGACTTCTGGGCCGGTGCTGTGGTCTTCAAGGAGGATGGCAAGGTAGCCAGGGCTGGCGGCCCCTTGCTTGCTTGCTTGCTTGCTTGTGTGGGCTTACAGTCTGGTTTCAGCAAGAACATGTTTGAAGCACAGACTTTGCCGCCGCCGCTGCCCTGTGCCGCCGGGCAGCGCCCACCCCGCCCAGCCATCCTTGCACGCCATACCACACACACCCTGTGCACTGCAGGTGATCGGGGCCTCAGCCATCGATGGCTTTGTGTACCTGTCTGACAATTTGGACCCCAGCAAGCAAGGCGTGACGATCGAGGTGGGTAGCACGGGTTGAGGCAGCCGCCCGCTGCGCTAGGCACTCACCCGCAAGTGCAGACCTGGGGCAGCAGCGGGCCCGGCGCGAGGATGGAGGCGGGGATGGGGGCTGGGCATGGTGGCTCCAGTCATGCGGGTGGCAGCTGCGGGGGTGGTGGCGGCGCAAGGGCGGGTGTGGTGTGGTGCGGCAGCGCCGTGCCCGTCTGTGCCGTGCCGTGTGGCGCCGCCCCGACCCGCGCCCGCCCCCGGCCCCGGCCTGCTGACTGCAGGGCGCCAGCTTCGACGGCCATCTGGAGCTGTATGGCATGATGACGGGGGAGGGCAGCATCATGTTTTCGGTGCAGAACCGGCTAGCAGGGGGGGCGCCAGTGGACCTGGGCTATCTGGCCACAGTGAGCTGGCTGTCTTGTCCCCGCCTTGTTCTTACTTCCTTCACCTTGGTTTCCCAGCATGGACAGCCCCGCCGGCGGCAGCCACCACAGCCCGGGCGGCAGCCCTCCGCCGCCGCCCTCCTGTCAATAGTGCTGGCCTGCCCTGGCCCTGCGCCGAACCTGCGCCGCCGCTCCCCCGCAGGGCATGTTTGAGGTGACCGACGAGGATGTGAACACCGTCCTGACCGAGGTTGCCGCCAACCTGGCCAGCGACTTTGACGACGGCACGCCCGACACGGATGACAAGCCCGGTGCTGGCGCTGGCGCTGGCGCTGGCGCTGGTGCTGGTGCTGGTGCTGGTGCTGGTGCTGGTGCTGGTGCTGGTGCTGGTGCCGGTGCTGGTGCCGGCCTGCCCGAGCCGCCCAAGGAGGTGGAGGAGGTGGTGGATGAGGTGGACCAAGTCATGGACGGCGACGACAAGGTCGTCTGAGCGGCGCCGCCAGCCTGCCTCCCGCTGCGGCAGGGCGGGGGGCCCGCTGCCGCGGCGCGGCGGGCCGCAGCGACCCCCACCCCTCCCGTGCTGTGATGGCTGGTGTGCAGCGCTGCACCCTCCATGTGCGATCCCCGCAACGAACTCACACCCAACAAGACCCAATGCACTGACTGGTCCTCCCCACTCCTTGCATCCATCCATGTGTGTTTACGTTTTTCATACCAAGCTTCGAGTTGAGACGGACACTCGCTTGTACCGCCACTCGCCTGCCTGTACCTCCTTGCCCTCCCCCACTCAAGCCTGCTTCGTAGCGTGCCTCCAACCCAACGACTACCCCACCCTGTCTGACAATATGTCTGCCATTTTGACCTGTGTAGCATGATGAGAGTTGAGAGAGCCGCCGCCGGCCCTGCGGACGAGCGCTGCTGGGCGAGGACACAGGCGGTGACAGGCGCCTGCTGAGTTGGGGCTGATGATAGAGGTCGAGCACATTCAGCACAGCAATGCAGCAGCTGCCACCAGAATCCTGGTCGGGCACGCCAGTGCAGTGCAAAGATTTGAAGGAACCCTGCATGTTGGGGATGGGGGCTGCTGACGGGTCCATTGTCATACCGAATGGCAGTGGCATGCGAAAAGGGCTATATGCATCATTCAAAGCGGGCATTCGGGGGCGATACAGCGCAGCAGGGGCAGCGCATGGCGGCGGATGACCCGCGCTCCACCGCCCGTCCTAGCACCTTCGTACATGGAAGCCATCGCCGGCCGACAGTGTGTTGGCAGCGGCCGGGCACCATCGGCTCGGGTTGCGGCTTAGTACAAAACCTGGCGAGCAGGAGGCTGCACCGCCGGCCCAAGCCCCTGAAATCAAGCACATTGGTCGAGCCCGCACGGTGAGCGCCATTGCAGGCGCCCGCGCACTGCAACACCCCGCGCCGCCGCCTGTGCACACGCTCCTGGGCCGCCCCCTTCCAGCCCTGCCTGACCCCCGTCTGGCCATTTTTACAGACCTCTACCTCTGGACGGTGTCGGGACGCGGAACGCCGCAGCGCGGGAGGCGCTAGGGACAGCAGCCGGCGGCGTGCATGGCGGCTGACAGGTCGCCCGGCGCTCGCGGCCCTGGGCCCTCTGGCGCGGCACTCGAGCCAGCCGTGCCCCAGCAGCAGCACGCCGCGGAGGCAGCGCCTGTGCAGGCAGGCGACGCGGGCGCAGCAGGCGTGGGCGAGGAGCACAGCTGGCGGCGGCGGCAGCGCGGCGCGGCACCTACGCTGGCGCCAACCGCCCAGGGAAACGGGACGGCGGCGCACCCGCCCACACACGATGCCCGCCACCAGCAGCCACAGCAGGACCAGCAGGGCAGCGACCAGGCACAGCAGGACGGCAGCAGCTGCCAGCCGCGCAGCGCCAAGCGGCGGCGCGGCGGCGCGGCGGCAGACGACGCCACGCCTGCGCCGTCGTCACCCTTTGCCTGGCCTCGCAGGCCTGCTGATGCCGGGCCTGCACCCGAGGCAGCAGCAGCAGCCCCAGCTGGGCCCTGCCTGAACGGAGTCAAAGCAGAGCCGCTGCCTGGTGCCTCGGCGGCGGCAGCAGCAGCAGCCGGCGTGCCCACGCCCCACCAGCCACAGCCGGCACCCGCCGCCGCCGCGGCCAGCAGCAAGCAGACGCCCGCGGCGGCAGCCAGCCAGGAGGCGGCAGCAGCGGGCCCCTCGCCCTCGCCCTCCCCACCGCTGCCAGCAGGCTCTGGCGCGGGCCCAGCGGCGGCGCTCGCCGCACAGCAGCCTACGCAGCAGACGCACCGCCCGCCGCTGCCGCCCGCGGCCGCGGCGTTGAAGCAGGAGCAGCAGCAGCAGCTGGCAGCGGCGGCGGCGGCGGCGGCCGAGGGCGCCTCTGCGCCTCCCAGCGCCGCCGCTAGCGTCGCGGGGGGCGGCGGCGCCGCCGCCGCCACCTCTTGCGCCTCCTCCCAGCATTCACAGCACCGCCCGGCAGGCTCTGCTGAAGTGAGGCCTCCCTCGCGGATGGCCAGCCTCACCCAGTCTGATGCTGAGATGCTGCTGGCCCTGAGCTCAGCACCAGAGGCAGCCACGGCAGACACAGCCACCGCGGGCGCAGCGGCGGCAGCCAGCGGCGCGGCCTCCGCTGCTGCAGCAGCGGCGGCGGCGGCAGGGAAGGCTGCGCTAGCGGCCGCGGCAGCGGAGCATGCGGAGGCGGACAGGGCGGCCGTGGCGGCGGCGGCGGCCGCGCTGCTGCCCCCGCCGCCGCCGCGCATCGCGACCGCACGCGGCGGTGCCACCGGCGGCGGCGTGCCGTCCCAGCGAGCGGCGGCCGCCGCGGCGTCTGCCTCGTTCGCTGCAGCCGCGGCCGCTGCGGCAATAGCAGAGTGGGAGGCTGGTGACACGCCTCGCTCCCGCGGCGGCGGCACTCCGCGCGGCGCAGGCGGCACGCCGCGCGGTGGCAGCCGCACGCCGCGAGCCAACGGCACGCCCCGCGGCGG